TGGGGAAGGGCGATCACTTTGGGTGGTGTACTGAATTGGACGTCATCCCGGTAATGAATGCTGAGTTCAAACTACATGCTACATACATATAGTTTGACCTGGCGCCAGGTTTGACCAATCAGTGGACGACCGGGGGAGGGGAGAAGGATGAGTTAATGATTAGCTGGCCACCGTATAAAGTATTAATTTTATGAATCGCCGGCTATTGTTGTTATTATCATATAATATGTTTGCAATCAAAATGTTGTCCGGTTTGAGATCCCGATGAATGACCGGTGGATTCAATCCGCGGAGATATTCAACGCTCTCTAAGAGCTTAAATATTTCACACGATATGTAATACTCGATAGCATTCATGGGTTCGGCCGGCGATTGGCGGCCAAATGTCAACGCCAATTGTCATCTAATACTGTGCGCAGACTTTGCGGGCAATACTCCATCTGAATGTACAGCCGATTGTTGTCCATCCATGAAGTGTAATACTGGACCACATATTCTAAGCGCACGTTTTCTAAACTTTTTACCTCTTTTAGTACTCGCAGTTTGTTTGCATCACTCGAGGATAAAAATTATTCAAATGCAAAGTGTTTTACAAATATGATAAATTATACAAATTAAACAATTGTAGTAAAATTAGTTAACTTACCGAGAAAAGTGACAGTTTTAATGGCGTACACCTCATCGCCTGAGTTATACTTCACTTTATACACACCGCCAAACCCACCCCTACCTATTAGCTCGGGTTCGCCAAACTCATCGGTATTAACGCTCTGACCTGTCATATAAAGTTATATCATGATAGTTTATATAATTTTAATCAATAAAGTTAACTATAGTTTACAATTACCACTTCTTGTTTCCACTGCTTTAATGTTATGAATAATAATCTGTTGTAACGTTTCATTGAATTTCTTGTTGTCATCGATTGGCATATTTTCATCGCTTTTCATTTCGATATCATCTGATGTTATGATTGATATTTCATTTATTTCTCTCAAATCAATTGTTTTATAAGTGATTTGGTATTCATTGTTGTAAAACGCGATTAAATCATTATATATGGTTTTGTATAGTTTGTGATCATTTGATAATTTGTAGATTTTATCATTACTTAAAACACAAATGAATTCACTATTAATATCAACGGCAAAATCAATTTGTTTTACA